CGGGTTTAGATCTGTCTCTTGACAGCTACTGCCTTCCTGACCCATCTAAGACTATCAATAGCCCTAAATCCTCCTTCCCTGTATCCGATCCATCAAGTCCTTCCAGTTAAATATATCCCAAAGCTACTTCTTCCTCATGTCACATCTGTCACATACTGGTCCGTGCCACCACATTGCTACTGGCCATTACACTTCTCTTTCTTTCCTCCTCTGTTCTATTCTAAATGGCCAAAGAGATCATCTTAGACTATAGATCAACTCATACTTCACACCTTTTCCCAAGCCTTGTAGCAGCTCCCCATTCCCAGCCTTATCTCTCCCACACTTAACTACTGCCCCAGAAAAAAACACATTCTTCCCTGACTCAGGGACCCTCTCATCACAGGCAACTCATCCCTCTGCTGGGAAAGCTGCTGCCTTCTTTCTCATCCCTCTGCTGAGTTTAAATCTCTGCTCCTTAGATTCTCCCTGTTACTGTGCTGATCTGTTCTGCCCCTTCAAAAGACAAGCCCCTCCCCAACCCACTGAGACAATTAGGTCTTTTTTTTTTCTTTTTCGAGACAGGGTTTCTCTGTGGTTTTGGAGCCTGTACTGGAACTAGCTCTTGTAGACCAGGCTGGTCTCGAACTCACAGAGATCCGCCTGCCTCTGCCTCCCAAGTGCTGGGATTAAAGGCGTGCGCCACCACAGCCCGGCTCCATTCCTGAGTCTCTTGCCTTTCTCCAAGAGGCAGCTTCTGTCTCTCTTTCTTCTCTCTCTCTCTCTCTCTCTCTCTCTCTCTCCCTCTTTCTCTCTCTCCTCTTCTCCTTCTCCCCCTTCCCTTCCAAAACCCACTTAATAAACATACAACCTCACTCTTGCATGGCATGCCTATCCATGCTTCTGTCTCCCTGCCCAGGAGCAACCACTGCTTGGGGACCTGCAGCCATCCCTTCCTGGGACTGGCTGCTCTCGGAACCCCCTGCCTGCTGCCTGCCCCCGGTGGGGGGACCTATGGCATGGTCTCATTACTCGTTGCCTGTCCTGGAGCTAGCTCAAACTGGCTGGCCTCAAACTCAGAGATCTGCCTGCCTCTGCCTCTCGAGTGCTGGGATTAAAGGCGTGCGCCACCACCACCTGGCAGATTTCTTTTTCTTTTAGGGGTACATTTGGAACTTCCAGGTTCTGTGGGACCCTCACCCTTTATTCTCAAAGGGGTAAGAAGAAATTTCCTAGCAGAATGTTTTCCCAGGAAGATAGTGGTCTTCCCCTCTCCCACCTAGGAGATTCCTAACACAAGGTCACTTAGCTCAGCCCAGCCAGCCACCTGGTACAGGCTGATAAAGATGGCCTAACTCAAGAACAGTGGCCTTGCTCTAAAAACAAGAAAAAAGCTGACATAACAGAATGTGAGGGAGCAAAAGTCCTTGTACCCGTGCCGAAGCATCTTCAAAGATTCTCTTTGTAGTTATGCCTTTAAAAGCTTACCCCACAGAGCAGATACAACTCCTCTCTACCTTGTTGTAATGGGGATGGAAATGAGTTCCAAACATGTCTGTATTATGCTTATTAAACCTTGCTTATTACAGTCTGGGCCTCTCTGGTGGTCTCTCTCTGAGGATCGTAATCTGGGCACAACAGTTCATGGTTCTGGTAGCTGAGGGAGAGGAGTCTCAAGATAAGGAAAGAAAAGAGTACCCATCCCATCAGGACCATGCAGGTGGGGAAACAGGCAGTTGGCTGACAGTCCATTTGCGAGGCAGATCCAAGGCAATTCCCTGAAACTTACAAGAACATTTTTCAAGTTCACGAAAGTTTTAGATATGTTAGCTTCACCATTGTTTGTCATCTGTATTGAAATTCACACTGTAGGAAAGTCAGTTAGCTGGTGTCTGTAAAACAGCTGGAGTAGACTCGTGCCTTTGCTGCCTAGCAAAAGCTATAGCTTTGGTTTGAAAAGTATGAACATTTTTTACCTCTGTCCAGAGAGCCAAATATAGATTGGACAGGCACCATGCAGTCCCTGCCACCTATATGTCTGCCTGGGAAAAAGACACGGCATTTTTTTTTTTGGTTTTTTCGAGACACGGTTTCTCTGTAGCTTTGGTGCCTATCCCGGAACTAGCTCTTGTAGACCAGGCTGGCCTCGAATTCCCAGAGACCCACCTGCCTCTGCCTCCCGAGGGCTGGGATTAAAGGCGTGTGCCACCACGCCCGGCAAGGACAGGGCATCTTATTAAGTACTGAGTTCACCAGACTGAAACTTGGGAGGGAGGGAAGGAGGGTGCATGTACTAAGCACACAGATGTACATGCAAAGACACAAGGGCATGAGAAAAAGTGGTATATTGCAAGGGAGTATGGTCTGTTTATTTGGTGTATAAAAAAGAAGTAGAGATTGTAGAGGCCCAAAAATGTGAGCCTATTCCACCTTGTCTGAAGGTCAGAGAGCTTGAGTTTGCTCAAAGTTGTTGACAACTGTGGCTACACACCCTGACCTAGGGTGTGGTTACTTGGTGTTTTAGACATTAAGAACTAAGAAGAACCTAGAGGTAGATCCACTCCACCCAGAACAAAGGTCAGAGAAATCAAGCGTAATCTACTCCTTCCTTTGAAATAGAATATTTGACCTTGAGTGTGGCTGCCTTCAGGATACTTAGTCTAGTGTAGGTTCACTGCCTAAAAAAAAAAAAAAATAGAATGTTTTTCTCAAGAAATAATGGCTTGATGTCTCAAATATGAGGACAAATACCTGTTCTAGCTGCCCTTTGTATCATGTGAAAGCAGTCTTTTGCCTTCTTCTCCCCCACCTTTTGTATTGGGCTATCAAAGTGTATGGAAAAATAACCACAGGTGAACTCAGAACTCAAAAGTCAGAAGAAGAATTCTGCATCCAGTATTCACTGAGTTGCCCTCCCAATACTATCCCATGTCTCTGTGATTCTTTCTCATCTCGGTTCCTCCTACCTAGCTTTTCTAATACTCACGCCCCTACCCTGGAACATATGAACCCACAGCAGCTAGGATTGTGACACCCAAAAAGGTGGCTCCCGACAGAGATAAGTAGATTGGTAAATTAAAGTTCATAAAAAAAAACAAGTAGAAAACAAAATCTTTATACACCATGAGAAACATTGAAATTTAATCAGAATAAAGACACATTGTGTTTGTGATTCAGAAAGTAACACCTGGCTGTGATGTAAAATCTTTTAAGATTTTGTGTGTCTTCACGCTTCTGTGGAGGTCAGAGTTCAACCTGCTGGAGTCTTTCTCTCATTTATCTTGTGAATCCTAAGGATCAAGCTCAGAACATCATCCGGCTTGGTGACAAAGGGATGAACCATCTTTCAGGCCCCAAAGCAGTGTTTTAAAGTTGAGCAGGCTGCGTTCTTTCTTAAGAAAACTCTCTTGCATGCCTCAGTGTGTGCTGACACATTTAGTTACAATGTCAGTGAAACGTCTACAAATGTATAAGAAGATGTACACTCACTATTCTTGCAGTTTCTGGACAGCTACCTATCACAAGAAAAAGGGGAAAGCAAAAATGAAAATAAATGTATAGAATCTCAACCAAAAGCACAAGCCAAATTACACTTCAACTGAGCATATCTTAATGTAATGTTTTACTTTAGTCAAGTTGCCACACGGAGCACAGGACGGTGTTATTTTGATGTAGTTTAATTTGACTATGAAAGAAAAAAGAGAAAGGGGGTTCTGAGAAACATTGCTGGTAGATTTAGATGGAATCACCTTCCCTATTCTCCAAGTGTCATAAAGAAACGCCTTCTAAATTACACTGTAGCTCTGGAACATATTTAGCAGAACTATAATTCCAGAATGTGAAAACCTCAGAAATCAGTTTCGGTTACTACAGCCCCAAGAATATATACTTTTTATATTTCTGTCTCTATGCTAACCTAAAACTGCCTAGCATAAACACACTGTGAAAAGAGCTCTGTCCCGGATTTCATTGCTAGTATCAGCTTTTGAGTTTATGACTCAGTTGCTACTATTCTAATGAGTTTAGACTGACATAAGGAAGCACAGACAGACCCCTTGGCCATTTTTACGACCTTTCCAACATTTACAACGAACAGAAAGCTAAATTATTCAAGTGGTTCTTTAAAAAAGCCCTTTTGTTTGCTCATGAATGTGTGCATAGTATTTGTATGTGTATGAGAGTTGGCATCGTGTGGGTACAGACACGCCCATGCCCGTGTGTGCAGATGGACAGGCATGCGGTGTGCACGTGTGTACCTCCGTGTGGAGGCTGGAGATTTACATACGGTGCTTGCCTAATGACGCTCCACTATTTTTTTGAGTCAGGGTCTCTTGTTGAAGCTCTCGGGCAAGCCAGTTTGTCTCATGGATTCAGTATGAGCCTCCAAGAGGCAGACTTATAGGCGGCTGCTACTGGGTAAGAGGGAGATCTCTTCCAAGGCCCTTCTTGAGATACGAACCTAGTCCTTACTTAACCGAACCAAATAATCATGGGTCGCTTAGTACTTATGTATTGTTACATGTATTTATTTATTTATTTATTTTTAAATATTATGTATTTAGTTATTATGTATGCAATATTCTGTCTGTGTCTATGCTTGCAGGCCAGAAGAGGGCACCAGATCTCATTACAGATGGTTGTGAGCCTCCATGTCGTTGTTGGGAATTGAACTCAGGACCTTTGGTAGAGCAGGTAATGCTCTTAACCTCTGAGCCATCTCTCCAGCCCCATTACATGTATTTATTAAACGTTATTCTAGGACTTTCTTTTAAACAGAGAGAGAGAGAGAGAGAGAGAGAGAGAGAGAGAAAATTAATGGATTTCTTCAATTCTGTGTAATTTTCACTGGTGAGGGCAGAAAAAAGAGAAAAAAGCTGAACAAAAAGCATTCTGCTGGGTTGACCCTCTAGGATCTCCGCAAGAACCAAGGCTCACTTCCTGGGCGGAGTTCAGGCTCCCCAGAAACGGAATCGCGTCAGGCCCCGCCCACCCGCAGGCTGGCCAATGAGGCGCCGCTCGGACCGCGAGCGCGGGGTGTCATGGCGGCCTGCAGGCAGTGCTGCTCGTGTCTGAGGCTCCGGCCGCCGGGCTGCGGTCCCCTCGGTCCCCTCGGCCGGCCCGGGCGGAGTCGGCCGCCCATCTATTTGCAGGCGCGAGCGCTGTGGAGCAGCATCGGGTCCCGAACGGTGGCCGTGGACCTGGGCCACAGGTAAGGAACGGCGTGAGTTCGCGGACTTTTCACGCGGAGTCCGATCCAGACACCCTTGGTAGCCAAATACCCAGGGTGGGACTCCAGCAGGCTGAATCTCTGTCAACTTCTCCACTCCAACCTAAGCTCGAGATTTCGTTTTCCGGATTTGAAGTCTGTCTTCCCGGTGCTTCCCCCTTTCCACGCTGCCCGCTGTCTGCTGGGTCTTGACCCAGCCCCTAACTGTGGTGGACTTCCTTCTCAGTGCCCATGACAATCTTCCTCTGTGTTTCCCGAGATCTCGGGCTCTGAATGGGAAACCTGCCACCTCAAGGTAACCCGTTGTCAGTGTGTGCCCAGGTCAGTTCTCCCAAAAACGAGGCCAGTGTGAGCCATAGTGGGAAGGGACCGTCGTTTTCTTGAATACCGGTTATATGATGAATACAGCCCTGTTAAACCTCTAGTAAGGTTCTGTTGCCTTCATTTTGTTGTTGAGACAACAGAGGGTCAAAAAAGGTAAATTTCTCAAAATTAACAAAACTAAGACATCTCAGACAGGCGCGCGTGCGAGAGAGAGAGAGAGAGAGAGAGAGAGAGAGAGAGAGAGACAGATTCCCCAGTTTCAAATCCTAGAGGCCATGTATGTAGTATGTGTGGGTCCTCTATGTGCATGGAGATCTTTTATACATACAGTATTGAAAAGTAAATTGGTAAGAGGCAAAGTGAACAACAACAACAAAACAGCGTAAATTTAGTAGTTTTCTTGCAAGCAACCGAAAGTCCATGTTCCTGAAACATAATCATCCTGTCTTTCTACATTATCAGAATTCATTGAATAACAATAAATTCACACACTATGCCAGTTCTCTTAGCTGAAATTTGCCAAGCAGTTCGAGTTTACCTTGATCCGTGCAGGCTGTTGCAAACATGGTTTCTTTTATCCCACTGGCAGTCACCAATACCAACTCTCAGATTACACATGACACTCCACACAGGAATAATAACTGTGTGTTTGTAACTATGTCGGTTACAGGGTGACTGCAGAAACTGATGCTGTATAGCTCAAAGTGCTGAAAAAGACTTACTAGACCAAAGGCAAAGAGCTAAGACAGGTAGACTACTGCTGGTAGTGTCAGTTGGACACCTGCCGGAGGCCCATAGGGCAAAGCCATAGAGAGAGTTCAGCTGAAGAGTGGACAGTCACAGCTGAGTCCAGATGGGTGGACATAGAATGTGTAGGCCTACAACACTTTGAGCAGGGCATGCCAGCCAGCTCAGCTGAAGCCTTAGGAACAGTCCCTTCTTTGCCGATGAGACGGCAGATCAGTGTTCACTAGTGGCGTTAGATGTCCTTCTCTGGGGTCCAGGTAAGAGTGTTGCACCCTTCGTTGGTTGGCTGAGTTTGATGAGTTCCTGGCCCTGTTTTTTTCTTACACACTTTTAATATACCCATGTGTTCATATATATGTGTGTGTGTGTATATATGTATATATATATATATATATAGTCAATATATTTGATAAGTTTATAGGTCATACCTTTTTACTTCTAGAAATGAGTTATTTACCCACCTGTGCCTAATGGTCAGTTCTAGACATGAGCTGGTGTCTACTTGAAAAAGATAGATTTTGCCTATGTGTTTGGACTTTTTTTTTAACTTTTTTTTTTATTTATTTACTTAACTTTATTATGTTTGTTGGTGTGAAGGTGTCAGATCTCATGGAACTGCATTTTCAGACAGTTGTGAGCTGCCATGTGGGTGCTGGGAATCGAACCCGGGTCCTCTGGAAGAGCAGTCAGTGCTCTTAACCGCTGAGCCATCTCTCCAGCCCCTGTATTTGGACTTTTGATGTTACATCAAAAAAGAGTGTCTAATCCAAGTTTATGGACATTTATTCCTGCTGTTTTTTCCAAAGAGCTTTAAATTTTTGCTCTAAAAGAGCTATCCCTAAAAGGAACCATGTTTGGGTTTTTATTTTTGTATGGAGTGTGTGGCTATCCATCCATCTCCATACCTTTTACTGAAAAAGATTATTCTTCTACCATTAAATTGTCTTGACACTACTGTTGAACATGAAAGTCAATATTAGTACTGTTATTATTTATTTTTTAAGTTAACATTCAAAATACTGTTATTTATCAGAAGATAAAAGTCCTTTATTATTTTTAACATAGCATACAAAATACTGTTATATATCAGAACATGAAAGTCGTTGTAGTCAATATTCAAAGTGTATATTTTTTTTCCAGAAAGTAATGGAGGAATTTTAAAGTATTTTAATTAGGGAAGAGAAGAGTCCGTGTGTTAGTTTACACAGCAGTGTGTCATGAGATGGGAAGCCATAGTTCGGAGTCTTTTTCTCCTGGCCATGCTTTCCCGTCCTCCCGGGGAGTCCTTTGCCTTAATTTCCATCATCTTTAAGCTGCACTTGGGTCTCCTTTGTGCTTTTGATGATCACAAATCCTGCATACTTTGGCTCTTCTTTTTCCCTGAAGTGGGGATGGGGACTTAGATTGGGAGCCTTTTGGGTTTTGTTGTTGTTGTCTTTTTTTTTTTTTTTTAGCTTCTCTCAATTATTTTTTACTACTAAGCTGAGACTTGTACTGTACTAAATTTTTATTTTTAAACAGAAAATTAGAAATATCCTCTGGAAAACTGGCAAGATTTGCAGATGGCTGTGCAGTGGTACAGGTAAGGAACTAGTCTGTTCTAAAGTCATAGTGGCTGATGTCTTAGTACCATCGTAGGTCATCATATAGTATTGGGAACTAGTTAAGATACCACCACGTGTTTCTGTGTCAGAACCATGCTAGCCCAGCAAAGTCAGTTGGACATAGAAAATGACCTTTAAGATCACTTCCAAACTTTGGGCTTTTCTGTATTCTGTTAATAAAATCTATTATGCTTTTTTCTAAAAAAAAAAAAAGTTTTTTTATTATGCCTTTCATAGTAGTTCTTGAAAATTTTTCTTTATTGTCTAAATTTCCTCATAAAGAGTAAAATACGACTCAATTCATTGGTGCGACTGGCCATTTCTCCATGTGAAAACTTCCATGAGTACTCTAATACTGGTCACGGTCAGATAGAAAGGATGGAGATCGCTGCACCGATACGAAATAAGAGATCTTCCATCCAGCCAGGCACGGTGCAAGCACTCACAAGTCCAGCGCTCTGGACTTCTGTAAGCAGAAGTCGGTGGATCTCCTACAGGGCTACATAATGAGGCATTGTTTCAAGAGAGAGAGGAAACGAGTTTTTATAGAGTTTGCTGTTTACGCATTAATGTCTGATTTCAAAAAAGATTACTAATATTTTTGTATCTGTTCAAGTCAGGCGACACAGCAGTGATGGTCACAGCGGTCAGTAAAACAAAGCCTTCACCCTCCCAGTTCATGCCCCTGCTGGTAAGTATTCACTTATCTGAGCCTCCAGTATAGTGTAAATGTTGGATTTGTAATACCATGTCAAGTGTCTGCAGTTAGACCGTACAACAAAGGGATTCCCTTAGATGTTTGAGACTGAGGATGTGAACTGATGGCCAAGTGTGATGAGCTCGGGGGAAGTGTGCGAGTACGTTGTTGTTGTACGTTGTTGTTAAAGAAGCAAAGATGCATTGTCTCTGGGTTTTCTTCCAGTTTGAGTGTGCAGCTATATATTAAGTGAAAAATTAATTAGGACTTTGTGTTTTCCTTTTTTTTTCTTTTTTCTTTTTGGTTTTGATTTTTTTGAGACAGGGTTTCTATGTGTAAGAGCCCTGGCTGTCCTGTCCTGGAACTTGCTCTGTAGGCCAGACTGGCCTTAGATTTGCCGCTTCTGCCTCCCGAGTGCTGGGATTAAAGGCGTGCGCCACCAATGCTTAGCTTGTGTTTTTTTTTTTTTTTTTTTTTTAATGTATTAGCAGAAAGCAATTATGTCTCACAGGGTTGGTGCGCAAAGTTGGAAGGGGCACTATTTGACTGGGTCAAGGCAAGCTACTGTAGAAAGCAGCAAGACTCGGCAGTCACCTGACTGCTAAGTGAAGGACTTTTCTTTTTCATCAATTGAAACATTCTATACATTCTTCTTCCTGAGTGGTTTAAAAGAATGCTAAAAGCAAATTAAATATTATCTACTTGTTGTCTAGAATATGTTGTGAGCAACCTTAGGAAAGTTGGTGCTTCTGTAGGGGTTCTTGGGATGTGAACCTTAATTCTTCATTGCTGCTTCAGGTTGACTACAGACAGAAGGCTGCTGCAGCAGGTAGAATCCCTACAAACTACCTTAGAAGGGAGATTGGCTCTTCTGACAAAGAGATTCTTACAAGTCGAGTAATAGGTAAGATCTCCAGTGTGCCATTTCACATCGCTTCTTCCCATCTCTGCTCTGCGGGTCTCCTAAGCTTCCTTCACTGTATGGCTGCCTCTGGCTATTTACTCTCAGATGTGTGCCTCCTGAGAGGAGAAACTTGTTCCTTATACCTTATCAAAGCCTTATATCTCGTGAGGAGGCATTCAGTAAATACTGAATGAGTCTGTTGAGCACGTGAATCCCATGCCCATGTCAGTTCTCTGTTAAATTTATTCCTGTGGTTTTTCATTTTTATGTTCAACTTAGTAACTCCTAAAAGCATTGCGTTTATGAGCTATTGAAGTATGTCTGTCATCTTCCAGATCTTTTTTGAGAAGGAAGAAGCATGAGTGTGTGGGTGGGAGGGTGTGGGTGGTGGTGAAGTTCTAGGTTATTCGCATGCTAAGTAAGCACTGTGCTACTAAGTAATATCGCCAGCCTAACAATAGCCCAGCTCTTTGACATCTACAGATACTGTGGGATCATTTGTGGTCTACAGCTTTCTACCCAACAGTTGCTAGCTTGTACACATATTTATGTGTGTTCCTCAGACAGTAAACCAAATGGATGTTTTCTTTGTGTCTGCTGTTGCTCTTCAGCCTCTTCTTTTGCTTTGTTGTTAGGTAATGGTCTGTATTAATGAAAGTGTTGATACTTATCAGTGTTTTTCTTTACATGTGGTCTTTTTGTTTGTGTCTATGACATAATCAACAGCTGTCTCTTAGTTCTGTAGTTTTAATTCGAGAACAGTTCTGCCAGGGCCATTTAAAATCTTTTTCTTTGCTTTGACAGATCGTTCAATTCGACCTCTCTTTCCAGCTGGCTATTTTTATGATACTCAGGTAAATTCTGCTTTTGTTTGGTTAAATTATTTAATCCCTATAACTCTTTCTAAAGAAAGCTTTATAAAGAATTTTTATGGTATTCGTGCATTATACTTTTGAGTCACTTTAAAAGGCAGTACTTTGGAAAACCGTATGTGATTGGTGTCATTTTGAGCTGATGCCTGAATTATGAGTAGGACTGAAAGACTGTTGGGAATGCTCTGGAAAGGTTGATGAGAATCTGGAACGCTCTAGAAAGGTTGATGAAAGTCTAAACCGCCCTGTGTTAGGAAATAGGTGGATGTATATAAAAGACAGTGTGATAGTTAGGGGTGGTAGCCAGACTCGGGGGCTGGATTTTGTAGGTCAAATTTATAATAGCTCATTAGGACAATCAGCATAACTGTTTTGATTTGGTAAACAAGATCTAAATTTCTGTAGCTCAGGCTGGCTTTAACTCTGCATAGCCTAAGCTAGCCTCAAACACATGGCAGTCTGTCAGCCTTACCCTTCCAAGTGTTCAGATTACAGCAGTGACCCATCATGACCATCTTATCACAACTAATTTTAATATCTTTATTCTGGATCTTCTGAACTTCTATTTTATTTTAATACTTTCTGAATATTCTTTTCTTTCCTCAAGGGGATTATATACTTTAGTTAGATATACTTAGGTAGCCATTTCATTAAGTAAGTATATCTTTGAAAGGACTTCAGAGCCTAAAGGAAATTATTCTTTTAAAAATCAAACAGAGGTACATCATTGCAATATAAACTGATACTAATACAAGTACATAGCCAACATTTACAGAATGCCGTAGCATGCCTAGTATTGTCCAGGTTCTTTCCATACAGCGTTTCTGTAGTTCTCAAAGGAACTCCTTAGGAAGATGACATATTTTGTCTCAAAAAAACAGAACTGGGAATATAACTTGGTAGTAAAAATGAAGCCCTGGTCCAGCAGTGCTCGTAGCCACATATACCACATACCCTTGGTGAATACAAAATGAGGAAATGGAAGTTTTAAATACCTAGTGTCAAGGATTTAGTTAAATGATAGGTAACTTCAAGGGATTTGGATATTGATCATATAGTTCTTAAATTTTAGGCCACGTTGCTAATTTAAATCATAATCTGCCCACATTGAGGGGCTATTGTTGTTGCTATCTGTCTGTCTAATTTGTTTCCCTTGTTGCTAGGTAATATGTAATCTGCTAGCTGTAGATGGCATCAATGAACCCGATGTCCTAGCAATTAATGGTGGTAAGTGTAAGAACACCAGCTAAAATGATCACTGCTGATTTTTTTAAAGCAATGAAATACTGTAATTTCAGTTTTTTATCTGTCTCCTTTTTAAAGCTTCTGTAGCCCTCTCCTTGTCAGACATCCCTTGGAATGGACCTGTCGGTAAGCTACAATTTGCAAGTGTGAGCTGCTGTTTCTGTTCTTTCAGTAACAATGTGCACGTTGTTGGTGCTGATTTATTACTTCATGGCAAGCTGAACTAGATAGCATGCTAATATTTCTTGCAGGTCTTTCAGGCATTTCATCCTTGCTTTGGGTTTTGTTACCCAAAGACTGTTATAGTGCTATTGATTTTATGGCCCTAGGCTTCTTGATTCCCTTTCATTCTTTTTTTCCTTACAGTGGGGGATTACCATAGTACGTTGTCTTTCGAGAGAAAACAAACATGTTTGTAACTTATAACTCCTGGAAGTTGTAACCATACAGTCTGCCGATTTCTTTACAAAGAGTACTATTTTCTTTTTCTTTTTTCTTTTTTGGTTTTTGAGACAGAGTTTCTCTGTGTAAAAGCTCTGGCCTAGCTCTGTAGACCAGGCTGGCCTCATACTCACAGAGATCTGACAGCCTCTCCCTCCCGAGTGCTGGGATTAAAGGCGTGTGCCACCACTGCCCTGCTAAGTTTGCTATTATAATGGCACAGACAAGGAGCTAGAAAAATGATATAGAAGTGCAGGTTGTCAAATAGTGCTTCTCAAAGTAGTCAGTGTGTAAGTGACAACGTCAGTGGGAGAGGGGTACGAGCATCTGCTGAGGACAGTAGTCTGGATATAAAGACCAAGAACATGATCAAAGTGCACACAAATCATTTGACTTGAGGGATTCGGAGCATCCCACTGAGCCTAGAAAGGAGGATGGGATAGGTGCTCTCTGAACTTTCGTAACATGGGAGAAATAGAAAGTTCATTCTGTTATCTGAAAGACAGTGTGATGCAGCGGCTACTAGAATAATACTGTGAAAAATCGCATGTTTTAATTATACATTGCTAACATTTTATTATGTTTTAGGGGCAGTACGAATAGGAATGATTGATGGAGAATATGTTGTTAACCCGACAAGGAAAGAGATGTCTTCTAGCACTTTAAATTTAGTGGTTGCCGGAGCACCTAAAAGCCATATTGGTAAATAAGTTACCTATATTCATTCTGCATTTTACTTGCAAGTTGTGTTTTTTTGTTATTTGTGTCTTTGTTTTTCATTTAAAAATACCCTGTTGGTGAAAGATTCTCAGACAGTAACTGTCTCCTTACTCTCTGACTAGTTATGCTGGAAGCCTCTGCAGAAAACATTCTACAGCAGGACTTCTGTCATGCTATCAAAGTTGGAGTGAAGTATACCCAGCAGATAATTCAGGGCATCCAGCAGTTGGTAAAAGAAATTGGTGTTGCCAAGAGGACACCCCAGAAGATATTCACCCCTTCACCAGAGATTGTGAAGTATGCTCACAAGTAAGAACGCCTGCGCAGATGGGCCGTTGCCACCAGGTTCAGGTTCCTCTCAGGAGATGCACTTTGTGTGGCACGTTCCTTCTTTACGTCATTACCATAACATAACTACCTATCTGATGACTACAGGAGGATAAACCAGCAAACGGTATAAACTTAATCCAAGACATAAGTTTAAATCTCAAGTAAAAATCAGATCCTTTATCTCTCCATGTCCAGAGTAAAGAGAATAAAACATATGATATTTGTATATCTAGGAAACTTGGATTTCTCAGAAAGAAGTGGGTTTGAACCAGTCCCATGCCCAGGGCTTGGACGGTGCCTGGCGATACTTAGAACAGGGAGTGACTCTGAATTGGAATTCGATGAGCAATGAGGAGGGAGGGGCATAGTGAGTGGAGGGAACTCTTCTGGATTATACTAAGCACATAGGAGTGAGGTGCAGCAACATCTCACCTTTATAGAGCGCCAAGTAGTTAGTTTGTAGTTCATTGCTGTTTAATTGTTTCAGTTATAGGAACTTCATAGTTCAATTATTGTTTGCTAACATTTAATTTATACTTATAGCCTCGCCGTGGAGAAACTCTATGCAGTTTTTACGGATTATGAACATGATAAAGTAGGTGTACCTTCAGTTTTGTTTGGAGATTACTTTGTTGTACTCATTCAATTCTGTTTGTGCACGTCAGTCCTGTTTGTCTTCAATGGACTGGGTGTGGGCTCAGTAGTAGAACAGTTGTCCTGTATTCCTGAGGCCCTGTGGTTGATTGGCAGCACTGCAAAGAATAAATAAACCTCCAGCAAATGTAAATAAAGCAGTTCTCCTTTGAGAACTCACCCCACACTCCATGTGTGTCATGCTTCCTTTCCATTGCCTTTCTGCTTCTTAGCCCCCTACTGCCTGCAATCTCACCTCCAACTGGACTTTCCTTAGAAAGCAAGACAAAGCCTACCTGTTTGTTTTTCTATTCTCTTGTTAAATGCACTCTTTAAGGAAATGTGCAAATATAATTTGAACTAATTAAATCAGGTTTTAATCTTTAATGTTTCTGTTCTTTCAGTGTGTTTTTGTGTAGCATTGAAAACATGAGAATTTCATACTTATACACTGACATCAATGCTGTTTTAGATTTCTAGAGATGAAGCTGTTAACAAGATAAGACTAGACACAGAGGAGCAACTAAAGGGTAATTCTGTCTTCATTTTTAAAGGGGTTGAAAGACAAATGTTGTTGTTTTGTTTTTTTTTTCAAAAAATACACAGATTTGTTTTCAGATTTCAGTGGTAAGATCATGAAAAACTGAGTTATTCTCATAGTTGCCCAGTTTTATCTTAAATCTGTAATGATGATAGACCATGGGTTGGCTGTCATGTTAACGTGTAGAAGTGTGGCTAACACTGGCCTTGAGTTGGCACCTAGTAAATAATGAAGGTAAAATGTTCCTTTCTTATCTGTTTCAGTGTGTTAATGTCCTGTAACCTGTCAATTTGAAAATCTAAAAGAATACTTAAAATTCTTGAGCCCAAAGAGAAAAGTTAGCTGGTCATGGTGGCGCACACCTTTAATCTCAGCAGTCAGGAGGCAGGAGAATCTCTGTTAGTTCCAGGCCAGTCTGATCTGCATAGTTCCAGAACAGCCAGGGTTATGTAGAGAGACCCTGTCTCAAAAATCAAGAAAAAGAAAAGAGAAGGAAGGATCAACAACAACAATAAAAAGACCCCAGTTTGGGGAGATAGCTTAGTGATAGTGTTTGCCCAGAACGCATGAGGCCCTGTATTAAATCCCCAATACTAAAAACAAAAATTTAACAATAAATTATTCAGTTTATCATCCATGACATTGTAACACCAATAATACCTAGTTTATAGATATTTAGTTAAATGAGTAAGTAATCTGCATCTGTGCCTGGCACACGTCATCATTCAGTGTGATGCTATTGTCATTCCTAACATTGTCCAGAATCACAAGGGGTGGCTAACTATCCACAGATCACTAAGCTGGATATCTTACTGTATAATGTCATTCTTGTAACAACTTAAATATGAGTAAAGGTTGATGTGGAGTTCTTAATAATTTTTCCACAAAGAGAAATGTATCCTCTTGTGGGAGCATTTATCAGATTTTAAAATAAAAATTCTTCTACATTTATGTTAATACCATTACTTATAGTTATCTTCAAAATAATTAAGACTTTTTTGAAAATCAAGAATAATACATTATGGTCAACAAGATGGCTCAGCAGGTAACAGTGCTTGCTGAGTAAGCCTGGAAACCTGAGTTTGATGCCTGGAATTCACATAAAGGTGGAACAGAAGAACTGACTGCACAGTTGTCCTCTGACCTCCACAAGTACACCGTAGCATACACCGTAGCATGCCTGCCCATGCACATTTGTCATGCATACTTATGCAGTGATCAGTGATCAATAGGTTTTTAAGAGAATGAGGGCTGGAGAGATGGCTCAGAGGTTAAGAGAACTGACTGCTGTTCCGGAGGTCCTGAGTTCAATTCCCAGCAACCACATGATGGCTCACAGCCATCTATAATGAGATCTGGTGCCCAGAACATTATATACATAATAAATAAATTTAAAAAAAGAGAGAGAGAATGAAAAGATAATCAGTGATGAAGGTTCAGGCCTATAATACGAGCACCCAGGAAGCTAAGACAGTAGCATTGTGAATTCAAGGCCACCCTGGGTTATACAGCAAGACTGTCTTGGAAAAGCAAAACAGAAGTATTCTGAACTGGAAGTATGGCTTTATAGAAACCTGCCTCTCCTGTGTAAATCCTGCAATACCAAAAGAAAAGCTTGTTGTATGTTGAAGATTACAGTTATATGTCTTTCTGTGACCATATTTTCTGTTCAAATTACTTTAAAGTTATACATTACTTAATAAAGCAAGAGACTGGTCGATGGCATTGGTCAACATTTAAAAGCATAAGCCTGTGTTGGACGGATCCCTAGAAATGTGCTGTGATCTTGCCAGGCGAGCGGCCCGCTACTGACCTTCAGCCCCAGCCCTACTTTACTTCTTTAAGCCTTTTCTCTTCTGCTTGTGGTTGCCGTTTCCTTACACGCTGTTGTGAAAGCTAGAGGCACACAAAGCGTGAGCCTGGCTCATGAAAATAGTCTGTAGATATTAGTGGAAAGGGCAGCTGGTGTGAATGCGTAATGAAGAAAATTGTTTCTCAGATTACACAAACTAAAAGATAACTGAAGATCAACTGTTAGTTACCCTCTTGTAGGTGTCTGTATTGGTCAGGTAACAGGACAGAACAGGGATGGATCATAGCACAAGCTAAGTTCCTACGACGGCCTTAAGAGCATTTGATGTATGTGCTTTGTTTACCTGAGAACTAAGTGTTCAGACATCTCACTTGATTTGATTCTGTGAACTTTGGAGAACTTAAAATTTTTGATTTTGTTTTGATTTGTTTCTTTTCTTTAGAAAAATTTCCAGAGGTCGACCAATTTGAAATAATAGAATCCTTCAATGTTGTTGCAAAGGAGGTTTTCAGAAGTATTATTTTGAATGAATACAAAAGGTAACCATATTCTCCTGCAGTAGAATTGAGGCAGGCGCTGCACCTGCAGGTTGCCTTGACAGTAGCAGCTTACTTAAAGGAGGGAACTGGGTGTTCGTTTTAGACATGAGCACCTGTTGGCAAGTGTATGGACTGTGTGGCTGCGGCTCTCTCTTGATGTACAGAGCACATCTCCAGACACTGATTCAGTGGGAGCCCAAGTGTTTATATTAGTGTTTACAATTCTAACAAGTTACTGGTGTTGAGAAGTTAATGGCAGAGATAAAGATTTTTCTGACTTCCTGTATGACTTTACTACTTTATTACAGGTGTGATGGACGGGATTTGACTTCACTTAGGAATATAAGTTGTGAGGTAGATATGTTTAAAACACTTCATGGATCAGCATTGTTTCAAAGGGGACAGACACAGGTAAAATATGTTTGAAAGTTATTTGTTTAAATATATTTGCAATGTAGATGCTATAAGTTTGTTTCTTTTTTTTGTTTTTGTATGTGTGTGTGTCCTTGTTTGAAATCAGGGGGTCTCTTTTGTTGTTTACATCTACATTTGCATGGAAAGTGAGACTGAGCTACTGTCCCTCCATAGGTGCACCGGAATTATAGATGCATACTACTATTGCCCAACTCTTTCTGTTCGATCTGTTGGTTGATTTTAGGGGTTTTGTTTTTCAAGACAAAGTCTCTATAACCCTGGCTGTCCTGGAACTCCCTGTGTTGACTAGGCTAGCCTCTAACTCACAGAGATCCACCGGCCTCTGCCTCCTGAGTGCTGGGATTAAAGGTGTGCACCACTGTCACCAGGCTTTTTTTTTTTTTTTTAATCTTCTTTTGGTTTTTTGAGATAGGGTTTCTCAGTAGATATGGAGCCAGTCCCGGAACTTGCTCTGTAGACCAGGCTGGCCTTGAACTCACAGAGATCCACCTGCCTCTGTCTCCCCAGTGCTGGGGTTAAAGGCTTGTGCCGCCACCACCCTACACATTTCAACTTTCTTATAGTAGCCTGGTGTATCTTGAGTTCTGATGTGGTTAATTCATCTCCTTTTTACTTTTTTTTTTTTTTTTTGAGCATCACTCCTTATTCCCAGAATGACAAAATTATGCATATATGATTTTCTTTCTTTTGACTTTCAGGTATTAACTATTAAATTTAGATAGTTAATTTATTTTGGAATATATTGCTGCATATGGTCTATAATCAAACCAATTCACTAATCATTTATTTTTTCCACTGATTTTTGACAACTTGTACTCAAAGTTTATAAATATATTTTTTTACAAAGTTTATAAATACATTTTAAAACTATACTCTTCGTTGTTTTGTGGATTTTCTGGCCAGTTTCATTTTCATTATCAAGCCTTTGGGGGCACTTTAATGCCTATGAAGTACATCTTCCCTGTTTACATATCTTTCCCAACAAAACTGTTTTAACTTTTCATGGTACATTGTTTCCTTCATTTGAATGCTAGAACTATGTCAGTTTCAAACAGTTCTTCTAGGATTACGTTGGAATTGCACTGAACTAAATATATTCGAGAAAGAAATGGTAGTTTTATCATTTGAATCAGTGCTTTCAGTGAATATATTGTCTCACTTTCGATTCATTTCCTCTTGTGCCTTTCAATGAAACATTAAAGATTTGGCCAGTTAGATGCTCTGGATACTTTCGTACCTCTTCTCACAGTCTCTGCCTCTTAACTGGAGTGCATGGTCAGTTTATGCTTCATTAATGGCTGCTGTGATCACACTTAGGCCTGTTACTTGGTTATTTGTTTCTCTGACCGACCTTTTGTTTCCCTCCTCCTCCTGTCACCTTGCATGTTTACTAGAATTCTGCTTTAGTTATGTTTGCTTCATCGCTGCACCTATGCATTTCTCTGTGGTGATTACGGGGATGGTAGACGTCTTTGGTTTCTGAGTCTAGAGTTAAAATAAGGAAGCTTTGCAGCCATTTCGGTGGATTTCCACGCCTTCCATCCTTTATGCTCTAGTGTGTCAAGTTACATCTACATGTGCCGTACGCCCACAGGGCAGTACTGTAACTGTTAGTTTGAATGATCATATGCATTTAAAATAGGAAAAAGAAAGCCTTATTTTTATACTGACCCACATATTTGCCATTCCTGGTATTTTTCATACCTTCAAAAATGTGTCAGTGCTATATCAAAGAAAAAAGTCTTCCTCCTGGAGTAGTTTATATCAAGAGTGAGCCCAGATTTGAATTGTTTACTTCCTGTGTCTTCCATCTGCCACTCTTGTCTGATTCCAGCAGTGGACTTTGCTCTATGCTTATTGAACAGCACAGAAAACATGATATGGGAAAGGAATGCGAGTCTTTACCAGAGTTCACAAGGGAAGAAACTATATCCACTGTTGCTACAAACAGATATTATGGTGGATACTTGCTTTCTTTAAGGTTGCTTTCAATCTATTGGCTGCTGTCAGCAAATGATCATCATAGCTCACACATGTGCGCACGCACGCACACACATACAAAGTTCTGGAAAACTTACAAAGAAAAAACAAGGCATAGTAAGGTTGGTTACATTGCTTTCTTGAAGTCTAGTTAAACAGGCTGACTGCACCATAGAGAAACAGACAGAGTATATAGTTTTAAATGGACTTGGTTGTAAGGTTGAGCAAAAATTCAGTTTCCGAAGGCAAGAGGTATTTTTAGAAAAAGCCATTTTAGGTCAGGCGGTGGTAGCGCATGCCTTTAATCTCAGCACTTGGGAGGCAGAGGCAGGCGGATCTCTAAGTTCGAGGCCAGCCTGGTCTACAAGAACTAGTTCTAGGACAGACAACAAAGTTACAGAGAAACTTTGTCTCAAAAAACAAAAATAAAAACAAAACAAAACAAAACAAAAAAAAGAAGCCAAATTTTACCACCTGAAGATCCAAGTTTTCAGTTAGATCATTATTTCTGTCATTCTGACCAGGCTAACTTCAGTGTTGTCCTGTAGGTCTTCAGAGAGACACTTCTCTTTATATTTTTTATTTTTATTTTTATTTATTTATTTTTATTTATTTATTTATTTATTTATTTGGTTTTTCGAGATAGGGTTTCTCTGTGGTTTTGGAGCCTGTCCTGGAACTAGCTCTGTAGACCAGGCTGGTTTCGAACTCACAGAGATCCGCCTGCCTCTGCCTCCCAAGTGCTGGGATTAAAGGCGTGCGCCACCATCGCCTGGCTTATTTTTATTTTTTTGACTAATCTGAAAATGCCTCTGTCATATAATTAGTCCTTTTTCTTGGTATAGAATTATGGATTGATAGAAGTGGTGGTCAGGGTGTTTCCTTTTTTTTTTCTTTGAGCACTTAAAGATGTGGTATTTCCTGTTCTTTGTCTTTTATCTGATAAAGACTCATTCAAATCATTTCTGTATATTTATTGTTTTTATGTGAGTGCAGTCAAGATGTGCTATTTTTGGATTCCATCAGTATGACTATGAAAAGGTACTTTTCTTAGAATATGTCATACCTAGAATTTCAAGCTTAAATCTACAAATGTATCTTCTCATTAAACTTGACAATCCAGCCATTACTTTGCAAATATTCCTTTTCCTGCTGACTCTCTTCTCTCCTGGAGTTGCAAGTGCAAGTCATCCTACAGAAGCCATAAGTAAGGTCCCTTCAGAGTGGGTGACTCCATTTTCCTTTCCTTTCTATCTCCCTCTTTCCTTTCTCCCATGCTTGAGTTTGAACACAGTACCATGCTACTTAAGTGCTCTGCCAGTGAGCTACCTCCAACCTCTGGATTGACTGGTCATTGTTCAGTGTTGTTATAAATTTAGCTGCAAGATCTTTGACATCCAGATCTCAGCTAAGGATTGTGCTCCATTCCCTGGTTGCTGCTGAAGCTGAACCGTGAGATTGATAACGCTGCTGAATGTCTGGGCTGTGTTGTCAGTCTACAAAGATGAACTTTCCTTTAAGCAGGCAGAGGTTTTTTGACTGAACCTCTGTTGAGGCTTCTTTTATGGAATGGCATTGTTTTTATGAATATTCCTTCCTCTTTCTCCCCCTCAGCAGTCTTAGTGAGCCCTACACTTAGGCTATGTGTTAGCCCTTTGAATTGTTGAGATGTACAATCAGTCTGAATATTTCAGGGTGAGTGTATACTTCCTGTAATAACTGCCATGTCTAGCATTATGTAGTATGTATTTATAGATTACAACATTTTCCTTTAGAAGAATTAAGTTTGCCAGATATCTTTAGTTTGAGCTGGGATTGTAGCTGGTTTGCAAGGCCCTCAGTTAAAGCTCCAACACACACACATCCCAAATGAGCAGAACAACAAATTACATAGTTTGTTTGTATGTATGTATACTCATATACACATGTAGTGATATTTCATTTGTATTTTATTTTATTTTTTTTATTATTATTATTTTTTTTTTTTTTTTTTTTTGGTTTTTTCGAGACAGGGTTTCTCTGTGGTTTGGGAGCCTGTCCTGGAACTAGCTCTTGTAGACCAGACTGGTCTCGAACTCACAGAGATCCGCCTGCCTCTGCCTCCCGAGTGCTGGGATTAAAGGCGTCATTTGTATTTTAATAAATAAAACTTGCCTGAAGATCAGAGAGTAAAACAGCCCCACTGGTCAGCCTTATAGACCAGGCAGTGATGGCACACATCTTTAATCCCAGTAGCCACACTAGTTTTCCATAGAAACTAGGCAGTAATGGTGCACACTTTTAATCCCAGCACTATATATACACACACACATATATACACACATATATACACACATGTACACACACACATATACATGATGGGAGGAGACAGCTCTCAGACAGTCTCATTCTGAGATTCCTGGAGGCAGGATCACCATTTTAGACTGAGGTAAAGGAAAGAGCCAGTGGCTGTCTGTTTTGCTTTTCTGACCTTCAGATTGAACTCCAGTATCTATCTCTGGGTTTTGTTAATTGTGCTACATATTCATGAATACTTCCTTTTGGTTTTTATCTTTGTTGTTAATATTTTAAAACTTAAAGAATAATTTTGTTCTTTTCTTAGGTACTCTGTACTGTTACATTTGATTCATTAGAATCCAGTATTAAGTCAGATCAAATTATAACAGCTATAAAGTAAGTTATATTTTTATGTTATATTTTGTGTTCATTCTTTTTGTATGTGTGTGTGCACTAGTATTTTACTCTACTCTCAGCACTAGCCAACCCTCAAAGGGCATTGCTGTTCTGATTGTGTGTTTTTTTGAGATAAGGCCTCAGTCTCTAGCACAGTCAACCTGCTTCAACCTTCTGCGTGCTGGGATCATAGCTAGGAGCCCCCATAGCAGACTTGGTTATTACTTTTATAGTCTGTTTCTCTGTACACTTCGTTTTCTGTCTACATGGTCAGAATTGCCAAGAATACTTCTCTGTTGGTGAACCATATTTTCTTCTAAATCGTTGGTTTGGAACACATTTGCAAAGCATTTATTCTGTGACGTGATTACATTTAGTTTATGTCTCTTGCAACATTCCCCATGACCAAATTCTCAGGTAATCTTGAATAAAGTTTGTATTACAAAATCGAGAACAAACACATGAGTGAAATCCCAGGTGCTAAAAATAAAGCCAGAGACTCTTAATGAAAACCGTCTGGTCTCAACTGATACGTAATTTTGTGTTCCCCTCCTGTACCTTCAAACTCAGCAGTAAAACTGTTCATCTGCTTAAGGTAATGTCTCCTTGTTGCATCATGGTCCTGAGACTCAGGACCTTCCTGCCTAACTGGTGGTTGTAACCTCTAATGTTTTCAGGATTGCTACCCCCAGCCTTGTTTTCATGTACATAGTAAGTTAATAGGTTGGAAACTGGAGATGTATGTACTCAGTTGGTAGAGTGTTTTCCTAACATACACAAAGTCCTGGATTCGGTCTCCGTTATCACCTGTGTGGCATAGAGGTGCATACCTGTAGTCAGCACTGTGGAGGTAGAGGCAGGAAGAGCAGCAGCCCAAGCCTTATCCTTGACTGCAGCCTAGATACATGAAACCCTGCCTTTAAAAAGCAGTAACAAAAGACTTTTCTTTTTTTGAAAGAAAATTGTGTTCTACAATCAACCTAGAATTCAATTTTAAGTCCCAGCTATTGTCAGATACCTTGCTCTCAGCTACTCAAGGGGCCGGAGCAGGAGCATTGCCTACTAAGGGGTTTAAGACCAACCTGAAGAGCATAGCAAGAGACTATGCAAAACCAAAAACAAATTCCCATTCACTCTCTGTTCAAGTTTTGAGTTTCAGACCAGCACTCATTAATACGCGATTGTTTTTCTGAAAGCATGATAAATCATTTTTAGTGGTTTATGGAAGTAAATTTGCTTATGTCCTTATAATGTTTTTAATATTATTCCTTTTTCTTGTAGTGGGGTAAAAGATAAAAATTTCATGCTGCACTATGAGGTAAGATCATTTTTCTTTAACATTTTTATTGTTAAAGATTTCTATGATACAGCAAAACGAAAAGAACTTGATAGTGTGGCCACTCCCTCAGTCCTCTCATTAACATTTTATCATTTATATGTGAAAGCTGATTTAGTAATTATTTTATTGCTTAGAAAAGAGACTTAGATGAATAGCTTTCTAGTCAGTAATTCCCTGTTCCCAGCCCCCACATGGTGGTTTATAACCACCCCTAACTCCAAATCCAGCACCTTTGGACCTCCATAGACACCAGGCACGTGTACATAGACATGTAGGCAAAAACCTTCTATACATAAAATAGATCTTCAAATGAAATAAATTTCCATGACAGTTCCTACTCTTTGTGTACACAGGAAGTACTTACAAATTGCTAATTTTAGTACTGTGATACATACTCTGGATTTTTCAGACATCTTCCAGACAGACACATGGATAGATGATAGATACATAGAAGATAGACAGACAGAGAGACAGAGAGACAGATGATGTACTTTTTAGAACAAAAGTGGGGTTGTATTTTGTAATTTGTTTTATTGTTTTGGTAATGTTTAGGCATCTTTCCATGTCACTTACGTGTGTGTGTGTGTGTGTTTTGTTTTGAAGTTTCCTCCTTATGCAACCAATGAAATTGGCAAAGTTACTGGTGTAAATAGAAGAGAACTCGGGCACGGTGAGCACATTTCTAAGCTTGTGTTGTGCTCTTAGAGAGCCTTGGTGCATTTTGCTCATTGTTTTGTATTCTGATTTAGGTGCTCTTGCTGAGAAAGCTTTGTTTCCTGTTATTCCCAAAGATTTTCCTTTTACCATAAGAGTCACATCTGAAGTCCTTGAGTCAAACGGTACGATATTCCAGTATTTCTTTCCTTAAAAAGACTAGATAGAGCCTCAAGCCTGCTGCAGGAGAAAATATGTTAAGTTGATCATACCTTTGTCCTGAATCTGTTTTTAGCTACTAAGTTATTTTGAAAGCTCTTTAGAAATAAATATTCCATTTTTGCATGTATTACAATACACCTGATTTGGGGAACTTTATTTTTTTGCAAACAAACAACAGAGCAAATTAATCTTGGAGGGGGATCCATCTGACAAAGGATAGCTCCCTCATATCAGATGAATAAGTGGGCATCAAGAGAGAAGCAAGGCTTATAGGTCAAAAAGATAAATAGAATAAATTAGTCCATTGTCAACTGAGGCAGAATGGGCAGAGTTCAAGGTCTAGCAGGTGGTCACAGATTTTTAAGGCAGCACCAAAGTCCTCACTGGATCTCTCACTGACCCTGGAGCTAGGCTGGCAGCCAGCAAGCCACAATGATCCTCCTGTTTCTGCACCTCATGCACACCTGACCTTACACCCCACATTTCTGTTATGCATATTAGGGATTCAAACTCAGGTCCTGAAACTTGTACAGCAAACACTTCTGCCCAGAGTCATCTCCCAGCCCCTTAAGTGAGTTTACATAGAAAGAAGAAAAGACTGCTGGGCGGTGGTGGCACACACCTTTCTTTAATCTCAGCACTCGGGAGGCAGAGGCAGGTGGATCTCTGTGAGTTCGAGGCCAGCCTAGTCTACAAGAGTTAGTTCCAGGACAGGCTCCAAAGCTACAGAGAAACCCTGTCCTGGAAAAAAAAAAGAAGAAAAAAAAAGACTATTGACTATTTATATTCAAGTGTAGTATATTATAAGGAAATGAGACTAGTCATTTTTCTGTATTTTAAGAAATCAATATATGATAAGTGGTTCTTTTTTTTTCAATAGGGTCATCTTCTATGGCATCTGCATGTGGTGGAAGTTTGGCATTAATGGATGCAGGTAAAAAAAATTATGTCTCAAAACTGTTTGTACTGATATGCAGCACGAGGTGGGACTGCTGATCCCATGGCGAGGGACATACACACCATTACACAGGGCATACATGAAAAGAAGTTTATTGGGAAAGGAAAGAAGGTTGAAAGAGACAGAGACACAGAAGAAAGAGAATGGGTGTGGGTGGAGCTTGTCTCTTAAAGGAACCTTTACACCTATATAGAGTCAGGGCACTGCCTGCCATGCGTTCTGGGGTGGCAACTCTGCCTCTACCAGATCCCAAAGGGACAGGGACAGGTTGTGTTTGCCTGGATGATAAAACTGTTAGTATTTTACATATATATTTCATTAGCACAGAGTATAAGATTTATTTAAATTGGATTTAATAAGTCAAAAAGATTATAGATTACCAACCTAGGCCAGACACAAGGTAATTACAAAGTAGAACATCAGAAAACTATTGGCTAACATTCTTATTTTCAACTAAAAGACACTGAATATTTGTAATACACTGAAAATTATATACTAGCTTTGGTGAGCCAATGAACTTTCCCCTTCCAAAACTGGAACCTTCCAGAATTGACTCCAGTCAACGAAGCAGTTTCAATTAGTAAACAAAAGCATTGCAGTCCATAAGACAAAGTCACCCTGTAACCTTTGAGCCAGTTTATAGTAGCCATGGAGAATGTACCATTCCGTAAATATGCTCAGAATTTTAGGAAGGTATACTGAAAGTAGTTTGGTGCAATCCCTGTCTGTGAAACTTAAAGAAAAAAGACTTCACATTTTAGGCATTTAGAGCAATATCTGGCAAACAGTTAAAATGCTACTCAAAAGAAAAAAGGGGAAGTGGCATCAAAAGCACTACTAAAAGGATTCCTCTGCTAAGTTGTCAAATTCTCAATTCAGATTGAAATAAAGAAAGGAGGATGTCTAAGTTAGGGTTTCTATTGCTGTGAAGAGATACTATAACCAAAAAACTCTTATAAAGGAAAACATTTAATTGGGACTGGGGCTGGCTTACAGTTTCAGAGGTCTAGTCCACTATGAGCATAGCAAGAAGCATGGTCGCATGCAGGCAGACGTGGTGCTGGAGAAGGAGCTGGGAGTTCTACATTTTGATCCACAGGCAGCAGAAGGAGACTAAGTACCACACTAGACACAGCTTGAGCATATAAGACCTCAAAGCCCACCCCTACAATGACACACTTCCTCCAACAAGGCCACACCTCCTGATAGTGCCATTCCCTATGGGTCAAGCATTCAAACATAATGAGTCTATGGGTGCCATATTTATTCAAACCACCACAGAGGATAACCCAGAGTAAGTGAAGCAGATATGTGAGTATATTTTAATGCTACTTAGAAATATTAAAACTTAAAGCAGGACAAAGCAAAAAACTGCTAATGACCTTTTCCTAGTTCTAGTTAGTATAGGTAAATATATTACAGTTTTCTATTGTTCATCTTCATTTATTCATTTTGCAAATCTTTTCTATGTGATACCTAAAAATCAAGCACTGATCTAAGTTTTTGGGGAATAGTGGTGAGCAAAATAGTCATTTGTATTCATAGAAGTTGAATTTCTCAGCCAAGTCTCATATTTAAAACAAAACAAAATGAAGTCCAGACATCCCAGCACTTTAAGCAGAGACTAGCAGATCTATATGAGTTCAAAGCAAGCCAAACTGGCATAGTAATATCCTGTTTCAAAACTACTCTGGAAAAGATTAACTGAACAATGAAAGACTTTTTCTTTTCTCCTTAGAGAGGGTCTTATGTAGTTCAGGCTGATCTTGAACTTGCTGTAGATAAGGCTGACCATCTTACAGAATATGCTATCATAGCATACCAAAAGACATCTTAAACTGTGGACAGAGATCTATCCGAGACAATGGAAAAGGACTTCGAAGTTAGAATTATATACTAGCATACAAGGAATAATCAGTTTTGATTTTGTAAGACTAGCACCTTCTATAAAACATGATTATAGAATGTCTTAAGACTCTTAACTCACCATGCAGTGGTGGCGCATGCCTCTATTCACACCACTCGAGAGGAAGAGACAGGCGGATCTCTGTGAGTTTGAGGCCAGCCTGGTCCACAGATCGAGTTCCAGGAAACTACAGAGAAACTGTCTCAAAAAAAAAAAAAAAAGACTCTTGACTCATAAAAACAAACAATACAGTATAGAGGCTGGACACATGTTAAGAGCATGTCTTGATTCAGCTCCCAGCACCTACATAATGGCTCACAACCTTCTGTAACTCCAGTCTCAGAATACCTTATGCCCTCTGGCATGTAGGTGGTGCTCAAACATACATGCAAGCAAAGCACTCATACACATAAAATAAATAAAAATCTCTTTTAAAAGGAGGGGATGTATTTTAGAATGAAAAGTAGCTATAAAGAGAACAGTAGTGGCGCATGACTTTAGCCCCAGCACTTGGGAGGGATAGGCAGGCGATCTCTGTGAGTTCGAGGCCAGCCTGGTTCCAGGACAACTAGGGCTGCTACACAGAAAAATCGCTCTCTCGAAAAACCAAAAAAAAAAAAAGAAAAAAAGCAAGCAAGAAAGAGCCAAAAGATAATAAGGAAAATAAGCCATACCCATAACTCATTTTGTTATTTTTGGAAAATAAAAAATGACTAGATTCCAAGTGAGGTGGAGGGATACTTTTGACACAGTAGACCTAGAATCTGTCTTGACAATGTATGATACCTTTGTGTAAACAGTGTAGAAGTTTAGACTGCATTAGGTGCATCATTCATGACTGGTTGAAGGATAAGCAGAGAGGACTGGTTAATCAGTGTGTTGTGAAAGAGAGAGGTCCCAGGTAGAATACTTAAGGATGCTTCATTATCAGCCCAATCCCTTTCCTTAATAACAATGACACGACATACAGGATACTCAGGATACTAATAAGAAGGAATATGGAAAGCTGTAATTGCAGTGGTTGGGCAGTGAAGGCAAGAAGATAGCAAATTTAGGGCCAGCCTGATTTACGTAGCAAGACTCTGTCTCAATGAAACGGGGGGGAGGGGGGAGAAGGAGGAGGAGGAGGAAGAAGAGAGGAAAGAAAGAAAGGAAGGAAAGAAAGAAAAGAGAGAGAAAGGAAGGAAGGAAGGAAGGAAGAACATATAAGAATCGATAAGTGTTTCCAACATGAATACATTAACTATGGAACAACACTTCTACCCTAAAATGGGAGATTTCTAAAGAAAGCAGTTATAGAGTTGACAGAACTGTCTAAATTGAGAAATTGCAAAGAAACTGACTGAGACCATGATATTTTGCCTAGTTTAAAGGTTGAAAAGCTATGTTAGGGTCAGGCAGATTAGGAGGCATGACATATAGCTGACCTAGAAGGAATAGCCTGTGCAAAATGATGAAGTTATAAAATAGCATGGCTGTGTTTCTCAGAGTATTCAAAAGAACCACTGAAGTAATAAATAAAGCAGATTTTGAAGGCCACTTGAGCAAAGCAAAACAGGTTTGTTTGCATTTTTTGTTTACTAACTTTTTAAGATAGATTTAATTTAATTTTATATGTATGTATAAGTACTTCCATGTCTATATGTGTATCACATGCCTGTTGGAGCAAGGTACATTAAGTGTATATCTTTGGAAGGTAGTTTGACTGTTTGAACAAGTATAAATGTCCATGTCCTTTAAGTACCTCCTCTATGGCTTATCAGAGGAGCTGGTTCCATGCGGTGCACAGAGGCCTGATGACCTAAGTTTGATCCCAGGATCCCACAGAATAACAAGAAAACAGACTCCAGAATTGTCCTCTCACCCCTACATGCACACGGTAGAACACGTGTCTATACTTAGACTTAAATGCACAAAATAAAATTAAAAACTTCAAAGTTTTGTTTCATCTGGAAGTGGAGTGGCATATCTGTAATCCCAAATACTTCTGAGGCAGAAGCAGAGAGATCTCTGAGTTTAAGGCCAGCCAGGACTACACAGTGAGTGCTATCTTAATTTAAAAATAGTTTTATATATGGGAGCCATGCATAGTAGTACATACTTCATCCTTGTAACTGTAGCACTTGGGAGACTAAGGCAGGAAGGTCTTATAATAATGAGGAACGCACAAATATTTTTTTTTATTTATTACATGTATATGGGGGTTACTATGTAGTAGGTTTTTACTAAATAAAAAGAACAAGGTAACAGATAATGCTTATATCATGTTTCTCAGAAATAAGAATTTAAAGATTATGTTTATAATTGTAGCTGTATACACAAATTTTCTAGTGGGGAGGTGAACTGAAAGGTTCAGGCTTAGAAAATATACCCAATAAAGGGTTTGAAGAAGGAACCAAAAGCAAAATAGCAGAGCATAGAAAACTTAAGAATTTGCTCTCTTAGGTTTTTGCCAAGTATAGTTATTATCTATTACTTTACAGGTCATTATTAAAGGATCAAAAAGCAATGAGATGGGGCCTATTCGACTCGATTTGATGACTGATAGAATAATGGAATAATGTCAGCAGAATTTGAGCATGTTTCATGCTACTACATGTCTTACACACAAACCTTCTTTTCATTATAGGGGTCCCAATTTCATCTGCTGTTGCAGGTGTAGCAGTGGGATTGGTTACCAAAACCAATCCAGAGAAAGGGGAAATAGAAGATTATCGTTTGCTGACAGATATCCTGGCAAGTATATTCCCAGTTTGAAATGTTTACAAGTATATTTAAAAGTACATGCTTAGACCAGTCATGATGGCAAATGCCTGAATAGGCGTAAGGCAGAAAATCACTAGTCATAGTCTAACCTAAGATTACATAGCAAGTTCCAGGCCACCATGGGCCATGTGGTGAGACAAAACAAAAAATGCAAAACAAATCAAAGACATATAAAAGCCTCAGCCTAGAACAGTGGTTCTAAACTTGTGGGCCCTGACCCATTTGGAAGGGGTCAAATTACCTTTTCACGGGAGTTACCTAAGACCACAACAAAAATAATATTATGGTTGGGAGATCAGCACACCATGAGGAACTGAACTAGAGGGTCACTAGAAGAATGCTTATACTTTTGGAGTATAGATACAGTGTTTATTTCCTGTTTGCCTTGGATTCTAAAAGATATGTATTACTATATACTTATCCAGAATGGCTTCCTCTGGGATAATTCTAAATTAATTTTTATGTATTTATTAGGAACAGGCATGAGCTAAACATAAGATGATATTTCCAATGGCAAGCTTTGTGCCCTGGAGCAGCAGCTGAGTGGCAGAGGTGGCTCTTGCATTTAACATTAGAGGAAACACCTTACTTCCAGAGCTAGGACTTGAAATTCTTCTACTGTGACTATAGGTGAACTTTGTTTAAAACTTTACCATAATTTCTTAAATTGTTGAAGGGAATTGAAGATTACAATGGTGACATGGATTTCAAAATAGCCGGTACAAATAAGGGAATAACTGCATTACAGGTACGACCTTGTTTCATTTTTTAAACTTTAAATAATGACATGGACCACTGTCTGTTTATTTATTTATTTTGGCTGTTCTCTATTAGGCTGATATTAAATTACCTGGAATACCAATTAAAATTGTAATGGAAGCCATTCAGCAAGCATCAGGTAAGTCAATACACTGTATGCTGCTCTCATTTCTGTCTAGTTTGTTAATGGAACCTTTAATTCCCACTAAGTTGACTATAAAATGTGGCTGACTGGAAGAATGTTTGCCTGTGATGCATTGGGTCAGATCCTCAGCACCATCAAAACAGAAGAGTGGGGCCCTGTAATTTAACATAATCAAGTATTAATTATTGATTACATGACTGACTACCCAAATGAAAGAATAGTAAAATTTTAATTTTTACAATTTAAGCAACTTTCTGAGCTAGGAGTTTGGAGGAGTTTGGAATAGATAATTAAGGTAATTAGAATACAAAGAGTTCCCATTAGTGAGCTAGAGTTTGGATTATACGCCAGAGAAAGCGAGAGTGAAACTTTTTCAGATCACACTTGATTCAGATCACACACTTGCAATTTTTATTCTGGTGGTATTTTTTCTAGTGGCAAAGAAGGAGATATTACAGATAATGAACAGAGTAATTTCAAAACCTCGAGCATCTAGAAAAGAAAATGGACCAGTCGTAGGTAAGACATTAAAGTTATTACTGACAGCTTGATAAACATTAATGTTTAAACATTTATTACTATTTTAAAGTGCTTTTCTCTTATCAAAATAAAAATAAGTACATTTTTGCTAACTACATTGAAAGAAAATTCTTTTACAATCATTCATGTACTGTGTGTGTGGGGGCGTGTAGGCATGCATATGCTACATATGCGCTGTGTCTGGCAGTCCAGGACCAGCTTCTGGGAATTGAAACTCTCCTTCTACCATTTGAGTGCTGGGGATTGAACTCAGGTTATTAGGCTTGGCAGCACATGCCGCTCAACCATCTTACCAGCCCTAGAAAATATTTAAAATGTTTTTCCCATAAAGAAATGGAAAAGTGAAAACATACGTGTTTATTCATATTTAAACATTACACTATGTATACATGTATCAAAACATCACAATAAATACATAAAATTTCTGTGTTCATATAAATCATTTAAAAGACAATTTTGTTTATGTTGAAAGAAAACCAGACTTTAAATTTGAGAACATACTCTTCTACATTTTTTAATAATTTTAATCACAACAAATTTCTTCTATTTCATAATGTACATATGTTTAGGTTCCTATGTCTTTGGCTTCTTTACACGATTGTCTGATTACATGAATTGATTGCATTTCAGAAACAATTAAAGTTCCATTATCAAAACGAGCAAAATTTGTTGGACCGGGTGGATATCACATAAAAAAACTTCAGGCTGACACAGGTAAGAGTTGTCTTAAGTTTGAGGGTATCGTTAAATGCCAAATCATACAAGTTTGCTATTTTATCTCTAGTGTGTTACTCCAGAAATAGTATTTGAGAGATAAAAGATGAGAAGAAAAGTATAAGATGTCTGCCTGTGAGTCTTCTATTGGAATTTTTAGTAAGTCAACAAACCGTAATGCTCAGCTATATTCAGGAAGGATAAAGCAGCATGGTGGGGCATGCCTGTGATCCCAGTATTTGATGACAGTCTGGAGACAAACATAGCAAGCCCTGTCTCAGAGAAGAGAAAGGATGACAAAATCCATCATATTCCTTCCACATTTTAAACGAACATTCCCAAATAATTTTTAGCTTTAGCTTTTTATAACTAAATAACTTACAGGTTATTAACTCCTCCTACTTGTGCAGTTTTGACCGAGTTTCATTTAAGCTCTTGTCTAAAGAGTATATGCAGAGACCAGGTACATTCAGGCAGGCAGCTGTCGGTCAGTTCCAGGGTAGCCTGGTCTACATATTGAGTTCCAAGCCGGCCAGCCAAGGCTACATTTACTTGAGACTTTGAGTATATGCAGAAATGGTCACATTTTAACCTGTTTCTTCTAGAATCAATGTTGAGATGACTTAATAGTTGTACTTTGAGTTTGCTAAAAGACAAGCAGCAGAGGTGCCTTAACCAGATTAAGAGTGAGAAACCGACATGATTCATTCTAAAGGTGGAAAATAAAAGAGGACGATGAAAGTGTTCTGCTACAATCCCTAGTCACAATTGAAGAGTAAAACAAAAGCCTTAAAAATTAGCCTTGCTGGGATAGGACATGGCTCACTGTTATATCCATAGGACCTAGTAAAATTAGCCCTGCTGGCCAGGCAGTGGTGGCGCACACCTTAAATCCCAGCACTGAGGAGGCAGAGGCAGGCAAATCTCTGTGAGTTTGAGGCCAGCCTGGTCTACAAGAGCTAGATCCAGGACAGGCTCCAAAGCTACAGAGAAACCCTGTCTTGGGGGAGGAAAAATAAATTAGCCCTGCTGGGTTACGGCATGGTTCTCTGTTACATCCATGCGACCTAATACAGTGCCAGGCACTTGGTGGGAGAGCAGTGTGTGCTTCATGGTGAGTGACTCTATCACTAAGGAACAGTCATTAGCACGGAAGAAACCCAACCCAGCTGCTTCCAGATCTCTCCCTGTTCTCACATTCCTTTTTAGATTAGTCTCCTCTGGCACGAGTTTGTTAATTTTAATGTGTTGTCTCTTTTTTGACCCCCATCCCTAATCATGATGCTGGGTTTATTCTAAAGGTGTAACAATTAGTCAGATTGATGAAGAAACCTTCTCCATATTTGCACCAACACCTAGTGCAATGCATGAGGCAAGAGACTTCATTAGCGAAATTTGCAGAGATGATGTAAGTATAGATCTTAGTGGTTTTCCTATTTTTTTTTCCTGTTATCTTTATTTACCTAATGATTTTTTACTTTACAGCAAGAGCAACAGTTAGAATTTGGAGCAGTTTATACCGCTACAATAACTGAAATCAGGTAATTACAAATAAAACAATAGGTTCGATTTTTTTTGGGGGGGGGGGTGTTTTTGAGAAAGGGTTTCGTTAAAGCTTTGGAGCCTATCCTGAAACTAACTCTTGTCGACCAGGTTGGCCTTGAACTCAGAGAGATCGGCCTGCTTCTGCCCCCCAAATGCTGGGATTAAAGGCGTGCGCCACCACTGCCCCGCATGAGTTCAATTTTTACTGCAAGCCCAGATTCACTTTGTATTTAGATATATGCCACTAACTGTGTGTGTGTGTGTGTGTGTGTGTGTGTGAGAGAGAGAGAGAGAGAGAGAGAGAGAGAGAGCGAGAGAGAGAGCGAGCGCGCATTTGTGTGTAGCTGGGAGTGACTGTTTTCTCTCATTGTATGTGTTGATTGTTGATGTTTTGCCTGCATGGATGTCTACCCACCATGCCTGAAGAGACAAGAGGAGGAGGATGTTGAATTCCTGGGGACTAGAGTAGACAGTTATGGGCCACTAGGCAGGTGCTGGGAATCGGAACCTGAGTTCTCTGGAAGACCAGGAAGTGTATTTAACCACTGAACTTCCCTCCAGCTCCACCCCCTTTTGTGTTTTGCTATGTTTATTATCTGTTTTATACATACAGCTATTTGGCATACATATATATTACACCATATGTGTGTCTGGTGCCCACAGAGGTCAGAAGAGGACATCAGATTCTCTTGAACTAGAGTTACAGATATGTGGATGCTGAGACTCAAACCCGGGTCCTCTGGAAAGCAGCCAGTACTCTTAGTTGCTGATCCATCTTTGACTCTGCACTTCTGATCCTCCTGCTTTCACCTCTGGAATACTGGGAGGAGTACACCACAGTGACTTGTTTTTATAGTGCTGGGCCAACCCCTGGGCTGTGGGCATGTGAGCCCTCTACAGCTCAGCTACACCTCTAGCCCCATCGAATTCTTTTTGTTTTTTTAGCTAATTTTATTTTCTGTGCCACTGTAGTTTTCAGTAACATGTTTTATAATTATAATAGATTCTGACATGAGAATTTTTTTCTTAAACCAAATTTTTGACCATATTTTATTTTCAAACTATATTTTTACCAGTTTTATTTTCCCCCAAACCATAAACCTAAAACTTACAAATTAATATTTCCTTTTTATTGTTGTTGTTTTTGTTTTATGGCATTATTTGATACTTAATTAACACATTTTTTAAGTCACTTTCAACCTCAAAAGTATTTTTACCAGCTGAAATTATCTCAAGATGTCACTTCTGCCAGGCGGTGGTGGCACACGCCTTTAGTCCCAGCACTCGGGAGGCAGAGGCAGGCCGATCTCTCTGAGTTCAAGGCCAACCTGGTCTACAAGACAGGATCCAAAGCTACAGAGAAACCCTGCTTTGAAAAACCAAAAAAAAAAAAAAGAAAGAAAAAAAAATGAAAAGATGCTACTTCTTTAAAAAAAAAAAGGAAGAATTTATTTATTTAGAATATTTCTTGAAAGGTTTTTAAAAGTAATGAAAGAGAATGGGATATCTGTTTAACATTACAGGTGGAAAAACAAGCAATGCAATTGATTGTCTTCAGACTAGAGAAAAAAGGAAGAGAACTTTTTACAGCCATCCATTCATAATTCCAGTTCCAGGAGATGATGCTCTCTTCTGACCTCCACATGGTGCACAGACATACATATATACTTATAGGCAAAAATGTACATATTAAATAAATATAATAAAATGTTATGAATTCTGAAGAGAAACACAAGTGAATACGTATTATAAAAACTTTCCTTTATATTCTTGTTCATTTTTAGTCACAAATATTTAAATATAGGGCATAATTCCATATTGAGAAACAATTATTTGGGCTCAGGATATGTGGGTGGATTATTAATTATGTGTGAGGTCCTAGGTTCAATTCCAAGTACTAATAGACTGGAGAGGAGGGCAGAGACGCGAGATAATATGAGAGAAGTATATTTGTTATGTAATCATAAGTTTTATAATTCCAAGTACTCATAGACAGGAGAGAGAGGACAGAGACGGCGAGGTAATATGAGAGAAGTATATTTGTTATGTAATCATAAGTTTTATAATTCCAAGTACTAATAGACAGGAGAGGAGGACAGAGATGGCGAGATAATAGAAGTACATTTGTTATGTAATCATAATTTTTTTAATCATAAGAATGTGTCCTAGGAGCCAGGCATGCTGGTACATGTACACACCTTTGGTCCCAGTACTAGGGGCAGAATTAGGTGGATCTCTGTGAGTTCAAGACCAGCCTGGTCTACAGAGTGAGTTTCAGGACTACACAGAAAGACCCTGTCTTTAAAAAAAAAAAAAAAAAGCAAGAAGAATAATATATCCTAGGACGTAGCCTGGAGATTGGTGTGACACCTGCTTCTGTGAAAGCATCAGCTGTGTGTGTCGGTCCATGTACTTACTGTTTTAACCAAGCTGATGTCTTTTTGTAGAGACACTGGCGTAATGGTAAAACTGTACCCAAACATGACTGCTGTGCTACTTCATAACACGCAACTTGACCAGCGAAAGGTAAGAAGGCCAGATTTGTGTGTGTCTGGTGAGTGTGCGGTGTGAGCACACATGTGTATGCATGGAGAACAGAGATGCCTAGGGTGTCCTGCTCTGGGACTCCCACCTCCTCTCAGTCCCTTTTGTCTGACATTCCTCATCCAGGCTGGTGGCCAGCACTTCCAAAGATCTTCCCTTTTCTATTCCCCACAACACTGGGGCCATAGTCACATGCATAACTCTTGCTGGCGGTTTATACAGACGCTAAGGATTTGAACTTAAGTCCTCATTTTTGTGCAGCAAGTATCCTTATTTTCTGAACCATCTCCCCATCTCAGACTTAACTTTCTGTAATTGTTAGAAATAACTAATATTAAAATTACCTAAATTGTTGAGAATTGGATATTTTGCCTAGTTATAGTCACCAGCCACTAATGTTTGCAGTGATGAAATGTAAAGAAACTGAACAGCCCTCCTTAAAGGACTATAATTTGAATATTCACCTACATTGCCTCAGTTATTCATATGAAAGGAAACTTTTGGGTTTTTGTTTTTCATGATATTTCAAGACAGGGTGTCTCTGTGTAACAATCTTAGCTGTCCTGGAACTCACTTTTGTAGGCCAGGGTGGCTTCGATCTTGCAGAGATCTGCCTGCCTCTGCCTCTTAAGTGCTGGGATTAGTGGCATGTGCCACCTCTACCTATGAAAGGGCAGTCTTAACATATTGAGTGAGCCGCATCCCCAACCCATGTTTTTTTGTTGGTTTGTTTTTTCGAGACAGGGTTTCTCTAGCTTTGGAGCCTGTCCTGGAACTAGCTCTTTTTTTTTTTTTAAATATTTATTTATTTATTATGTATACAATATTCTGTCTGTGTGTATGTCTGCAGGCCAGAAGAGGACACCAGACCTCATTACAGATGGTTGTGAGCCACCATGTGGTTGCTGGGAATTGAACTCAGGACCTTTGGAAGAGCAGGCAGTGCTCTTAACCACTGAGCCATCTCTCCAGCCCTGGAACTAGCTCTTGTAGCCCAGGCTGGCCTTGAACTCACATAGATCTGCCTGCCTCTGCCTCCGAGTGCTGGGGTTAAAGGTGTGTGCCCCCATGCCCAGCCTCAGCCCACATATATACTGTACACTAAATAGACATTTGAAGGGCTGGACACTGAAGTAGTAACAGTAGTTTTCATTTTCTTCTGATTACTTTTATATTGTTTGCAATGTTTGTAATTAATAGATTTCATTAGAAAAACAAATATAGCTATTCACTTAGGGAAAGGTGTTGACTTCTGTGGTTACTGGATAATTACATATAACTAATTATTTTTTTTTTTTTAGATTAAACACCCCACTGCCCTAGGATTAGAAGTTGGTCAAGAAATTCAGGTACTTATGCTCAGTGATTATCTTTAAAGGTGTGAATTGAACTTCAGATTCCAATTAGTATCTTTGAAGGAATAGAATAAGCACCTCTGGCTTGTATTTTTGTACACTGCTTCTTTAAGAAGTCAGGGTGGCTTAACCAGACTTGCTAAGCATTAAGAGTAAGATCTTTTCCCTCAAGTAGATCATAATTTAGCTTTAAAAAGAAAGAGAGAGAGAGAGAGAGAGAGAGAGAGAGAGAGAGAGGCAGATAGACAGACAGAAAAAGAGAAAAACACCTTTAGAGTTGGGCAGACTTGTCATTTGGAGACAGTCTTGATAACATGGTGGAAAGCTGTGTCATCTTGGAGCAGGTGAGACTCTGTACTTGACATTAAATGTTTGTGAACTAAGAGTACTGTTGCTGAGGTCTAGAATTCTGATAGTAAAACTGGCCCTGTCTTGTAGTGCTCTATCAGTGAACAGAAGTTGTTGCTGATCTGGGTGTGTATTCCCCATCTGGGCTTCTGTTGTTTAAGCAGCTCTGGGGAAAGATGAAGGCCAAGAGAGCATCTCTCCACGTGTTTGTGCTGTACATCAAAGGGGACTTTAAGCCTGTTGCAGTGTTCCCGTTTAATTTCTTCATGGAACGGTATATCTAGTGCAATGGTCCCCAAGTCATAGAGAAAATACAAAGCCCTTAACTGAATTTTGACTTTGGACTTACAGTATAAGAACTTAGAAACCATAAAAAAGGCACAGTTAGTTTATCAGAAACAAAACTAAATGTCTGCTTTCTTTTGCCCTGTTTGGTTGATTGATTTACTGATTGGTTTATTGATTGATTTACTGATTGATTTATTGATTGATTTACTGATTGCTTTACTGATTGATTTATTTTAGTCAGTGTCTCAGGCTAGCATCAAACTCAAACCTCCTGCCGAGTGTTGGGACTCCAATAGGGCACTATACTTTGATTCCTTTTGTCTTTTTATAACAGCTATTTCATCAAAATATAGTTACTGTGTCTCTAATTATTACTGAGCAGTGCTTTTATTAGACACAAATATTAATTATTGCCTTATTTGTACAATGCAAATTTAAATGTCTTTGAAATTACATGTCAACTTTAAATATGCTTCTTTTACATAGGTCAAATACTTTGGCCGTGATCCAGCTGATGGAAGAATGAGGCTTTCCCGCAAAGTCCTTCAGTCTCCAGCTATAACTGCTGTCAAAACTCTAAATGATAGAAGCAGCATTGTAATGGGAGAGTCTATGTCACAGTCATCATCCAACTCTTCCCCTTGACTCCTGTTGGAAATGGTATTCAACAGTGATATTCTGCAAAGCAAACTTTAATAGTCCCGTTTAATGTGTAGATTTCTATATAATTTAATGTTTGTATTAAAATGCTCTTTTCTGTAGGTGGAGTTTTCTGTATTGCTAGCCAGTTTCCAAATGACAACATAGAGACTTACTATTAATTGTGAAAACTCAGCCAATAGCTTACGCTTGTTTTTAGCTAGCTCTTATAACTTAACCCAATTCTAATCTGTGTGCTGTCCAGAAGCTTATTTACCTCTTCTACATAATATCCATCCTGCTTTCCAGCTTTTTCCATGTCTCCTCCCAACTCCACCCTCTACACAGCATCCTTTGTACCTGGAAATCCTGCCTACCTATTAGCTGTTCAGCTCTTTAGTAAATCAGTCCAAGTGGTATATCTTCACAATGTACGAAAAGATTATTCTACAGTACATTTCATGTGCCTTTTTTATTTCAGGATCAACCTATATTTGCCTTATTTATATTATAAAACCAATAAATATTTATTATTTAAAGTAATCTATTTTTAGGGGGCTGTAGAGAGGGCTCAGAGGTTAAGAGCACTGCTTGCTCTTCCAAAGGTCCTGAGTTCAATTCCCAGCAATCACATGGTGGCTCACAACCATCTGTAATGAGATCTGGTGTCCTCTTCTGGCCTGCAGGCATATATGCAGGCAAAACAGCATATATATAAGTAAATAAAAAGCTATTTTTATATCTTAGGACAGATTACCTTTTTGTTTCTTTAATTGTAAACTACTGAAAAATAATTGATCATGTATGCTCTCCTAAGGCTCTTTTCCTCTGCCTTCCTTCTCATGTTTGTTAATGGCCATTCTCCCTTAGGCATCTTATGGCTCCCCTTTACCCAGCAACTGTGCCTAGCTGCTGCTGTTTTGCATACTAGAACTTGCCATTTTGAAAGCCAGAACCTTTTCTTCACCGTAATTACACATTTAATTGTCATTGAGGGAGCTAATTTGGTTCCATTTTTAATGGTATGCCTTTCACAAAACCATAAATATAGTGAGATGAATCTTATAAATGGGTTTCTCACTAGAGTGATTTTTTTTTTCTTGGTTTTTCAAGACAGGGTTTCTCTGTGTAACAGCCCTGGCTGTCCTCAAACTCACAAAGATCCACCTTCCTCTGCCTTTCTGAGTGCTGGGATTAAAGGTGTGCACCACCATGTCCAACTGTTTTAATTACCTAAATATAAAAGATACCACTAGAGTCATTCTTTGTGTGTATATAATTGCCACTGTGTGGATATATTTTGTATATATTTTTGGTATAAGAGCTGAAGGAACCATTATTTATGTAATGTCATGTTCAGTGTCCTATTTTTTTTCTTTAGACAAGGTCTCATTATGTAGCTTTAGATAGCCTGGAACTCATTATACCAGGCTGGTCTAGAACTGACATCTACCTGTCAGACCCTAGAGTCCTACAAAGGCATGTGTCACCATACCTTGCTCATTGCCATAATTTAAAACATGCTACTAGTCCACAAAAAAAAAAAAAGCAGATACTACATAATTTAGACTGTCTAATCCTTTTATAATTCTTATAAAATATATGTGAATTCTTACTCAGGGCTAAGTCATAAGCTGTTAAATATGTGTCTGTCCAAGCCAAATACTTTTAAGGTACATTTATATGTAAGTCGACAAACATTATTCTGTGTAAAAGAGCATATTAAACAGCACCGATACCCTTTCTGAATTAGTGAAAGGAACTGGAAATTAAAAATTAAATTTGATTTCTATTTTGGATATACTGTTATTCTGTATTTGTCAAAGTGACCAAGTGCTATAACCCTTAGTTTAAGGGACAGTAACCCTTATTGTTTGGATTTCCTAATTATAATTTGGTTTTCTTAAATTTGCTCTTATTTTTTTTTTCAAAGGGACTGTAAACTGCTAATAATTTGGGAAAAAATGAAGCCAGTTCTTGGAACTCAAGAGGGGTGCCACAGAATTTAAATGGACAGCTCACTAATGCCAACAGCAGAAGCACCTTCATTTCTGCATAAACCAGCAGCCTACCATTAGAGCCAGACCTCCCTTCATCTTTATTCAAATCATGGTCGTTTTTCATAATTTCTAATGATGTTTTTGTTTTTGATTTTTTGGGAGGCAGCATTTCTCTATGTCGCCAAGGGTGTCCTGGAACTTGCTCTGTAGACCAGGCTGGCCTTGAACTCAGATCCACCCGTGCCTGCCTCCTGAGTGCTGGGATTAAATGTGTGCACCACCACCACCACCACCAGGCCCTCTAATTAAGTTTTTAATCTGAGCCTATCATATGCCAAAGACTAATTTATAGTACCTGAATACTGCTATTTGCAAATTGATCTTTTATGACCCTTTTTTTGACATACCATGAATTAGTGTTCAAATTTTTATATATATTTGTTTTGTGCACTTAGAAGCCATTGTATGTGTGTGGGGATCAGGACAACTTGTAGGATGTTGGTTCACTCACACTGTGTGGGTTCTAGGAGACAAACTCAGGGCATCAGACTTCACAATAATCATTGTACCTTTCCTTGCTGAGCCATCTGACTTGCTTAAATTATGGTTTTTATGTGACTATTTTCTTTCCCTTCCAAAACATTTTAAATTTCTGGATCTAAGATAGAAGCATGAACATGAGCCACCCTCTCTGTTGAGCTCAGCCAAGCGTCACATTCATTCAACATCTGCTGGACTAAGCACTAGGCATGGACAGGGGATGTCCGCAAACAGAGCCGAAGCTCGTGTTCACTTCTGCTTGAGAAAACTGGCAGTAAGCAGGGATGTAACATCTGACAAAGAAGCACATACCGTAATAGAAAGGAGTTGGAGTGATCTGTCCTACTGCTGCAGTGTAGACTATGAACAAGATCAGCTTGGAGAGGGAAAGATTTATTTGGCTTACACTGCCCAGATCACAATCTGTTGAGGAAAGCTAAGGGAAGAAAGTAAAACAGGTCATGAGGAGTACTTTTTACTGGCTTGCCCCCAATGGCTTACTCAGCCGGCCTTTTTAAAAAAATACTTTTCTTTAATCCCAGCACTCGGGAGGCAGAGGCAGGCGGATCTCTGTGAGTTCGAGACCAGCCTGGTCTACAAGAGCTAGTTCCAGGACAGGCTCCAAAGCCACAAAGAAACCCTGTCTCGAAAAAAAAAAAAAAAACAAACAAAAAAAATAAATAAAAAAAATACTTTTATTAATGTGTGTATATATATATATGTGATTATAATATATATATTTTTTGGTGGGGGGTATCAAGACAGGGTTTCTCTGTAGACCGGGCTGTAGAGGTGTGCGCCACCACCTCCCAGTAGCCCCGCCTGCTCTCTTATGCCATCTAGGACCAACTACCCCAGTGAACTAGGCCCCAGCACATCAAGCATTAATGAGTAAAATGCCCCCATAGCCTTGACAATTGGCTAATCAGATGCAAGCATTTTCTTGTTTGAGGCTCCCTTTTCCTAGATAATCCTGGCTTGTATAAAGTTGACAAAAATAAATAAAAAAATAAAAATCACACAGCCAGGACAAGTGATAAGAAGTTATTGTTTGAAATGAAATGATTCAGAACCACTTCCCTGAATAGATAATATTTAAAGAGACCTGAATGAAATAGAAGAAGGAAATGTGAAGACAAAATAAACTTTCATTTTATAAGTTAGTTTCACATAGTTTCGTCCTTTGCTTTGTATTAAGAATATAGTCAAGGGCTGGAGAGATGACTCAGAGGTTAAGAGCACTGACTACTCTTCCAGGAGTTCAATTCTCAGTAACCATATGGTGGCTCACAACCATCTATAACATCTGATGACCCACATGGTGAAAAGAGAAGCAGTTCCCTCAAGTTGTTCTCTGACTCCAGACATGCACCATAGTACTTAAGGACCAATGCCAAGTATATAAATGTAATAAAATTTGTTTAAAATACATATATATAACAAGTGGAAAGAGCAGATATTTTCAAAACATTTAATCAGGCAAACATGCTTAGTTATTTCTGAGGAATAAACAGAATCACAAGGAGTTTAACAGGCTGTGACAAATGCTTTCTCATGAAACTTGATAATAGGAAAGGCAGACAGTAGAAATGGGAAAGAGACTATAAAGACATTGAGTGTTGGGGATTAAAAAAAGAAAAAGCAGTGTTTAAGTCTCATGGGTGGATAGAATGAATATAGGGTTGAAGAGAAAGAAACAGCTCCACTGCCAACTTTAGCTTGAGGGTTGTAAAGGTAATAGTTCTGATATCGGTGGAAAACTTGCTAGGAATGAGTGAAGCCATCAACCAACAGAGGTGGCTGTTGTAGGAAGCAGCTGGAGACTGTTGTATCGCTTCTGGGGAATCTATCTAATGCAGAGAGAAGGGCCACCTAACCAAGTATTCCAACCAAGTCAAGCTGATCAAGTGAATTCATTGGGGTTGTATACAAGAGCAAGAATACAGACATGAAGCTACTTCTAAAGACATCCCCACCCTAGTGGTGTCCCTGCCCTTCTCAACTGGAGAATGTTAATCGACCCTAAATTCAGTCCCTAGCAACATATACCAAACGAAAAGAAAACCTGCATTTTCTGACTATCGTGCTACAGTATGATGCACTGTTTCCTTTGGAAACAATATAGTTACTAATTAATAAAGTTGGTAGACACTCTAGCAAAGGTTTCTTGCAATGTGGCTCAAACATCTCTTGCCTCTCAAGTGTTGGAGTTGCATACATGCATCCTGGCTCTGATTTTTGGCTTTTGTCTTTGTTGTTTTTAAAGACATGTTATGGGCCAGTGAGATGGCTCAGCCAATATAGGCTCTTGCCACCAAGTCTGACAACTAAATTCAATCCCTAGCACCACGTGATGGAAGGAAAGAAAGAACTGATTCCAGGTTGTCCTCTGACTCACACATACTGGCAAGTGAGTGCACACATGAATAAGGAATGTAAAAAGGAGGCTTAAAAAAAATGTTGGGCCAGCAAGATACCTTTTGTAGGTAAAGGCATTTGCCATCAAGCCTGGGTTTGATCCCAGAGATCCACATAGTATAAAGAGAGTAAGTCCTGACATCCACATGTGTGTAATGGCACATGCATATGCACATACACACACTAAATGAGTAAACATGTATTTTTAAATTATGTTATAGGTGTAACAGTTTAACCCCCAGAATACATAAAAACCCAAACATGGTGGTTTGCACTTGTAGTTCCAACACTGGGGAGGTGGAGATGGTACCGTGGTGTTCACTGGGCAGCCAGCATAGCCTTACTTGGAAATTCCAACAAACTGTTTCAAAATGAATGACACTGGAGATTTATCTGTGGCCACACACATACACACACGTGGTCATTTCATACAATGATGAGTTGGTCATAGTGGCCGGCACCTGTAATTCTCAAAACTCCTCAGGCTAAAGCAGGAGAATCTCTTGAGTCCAGAAATTTACCCAGTTTGGGTAGCATAAACCTCATCCTTAAAATAAGTCGGGTAGAGGAAATGTGACATTAAAATAAATAAAAAAAGCTTTCTACGAAGTGTAATTTTAATTGTTTTCTTAATACAGAGAAGTCATATGTGAGCCTGGCTTTAAGGGATGACAAGGAGAGGGTGTTAGGGGTCTAAAAAATGCTGCAGGTCCCCAAGTGGCTGTAGCAGGCAGTGGGCCACCAAGGCAGCCAGTCCCAGGCAGGGAGCCCTCCCCCGCCCCCCCCCCCCCCCCAGTGGCCCACTGGCCATGAGAGCCAGCAGGTCCTGGGGGGGGGGGGGAGTCATGGCAGCAGCTACCTCTTTGGGAGAGACAGAAAAGGGAAGGACTCAGGCTGGAAGCTCGGGGGTGGGAGGGTGGGGGGAGTAGGCAGAGCTTGTCTCTTAAAAGGACAGGACAGACCATTACAGAGGGGCAAACTGTTGAGTAGAAGCAGTTTAAACAGTGAAAAGCGTTAGAATTAAAGTAACTTTGTTTTGTATGTTCTAGGAGCACTGAAAAATACCATGTTTCATGAAAACTACAGTTGCTTGTTAATATTTTTAAATTGTGGCTATAAAATTCCCATAATTTCCAATAATTCATAAACTAGATGATGTTATATGAAATAAAAAGCACAAAATATGTAGATAATTATCATAAAGTATAAAAATTATAATAAAATACTGAAGGGGCAAACTTATTACCAGATGCCAAAGAAGTGTCTTACAAAACTCAATGAATAATGTCTTTGGTTTTGCAAATATCTATCAAAAAATTAGAAACAGGCTGAAGAGATGGCTCAGCAGTTAGGAGCACTTGGTACTCTTTCAGAGGACCTGAGTTGGTTTTCCAGCACCCACCTGGTGGCTACAGTACCAAGGGTACTGATACCCTCTTCTGGCCTCTTCTGCTTACAGGATTCTAAATGCATATGGTATACATATAAATCTTTTTTTAAGTTTAATTTTATGTGCATTGGTGTAAAGATATCATCCCTTGGAACTGAAGTAACAGTTGTGAGCTGGCACTTGTGGGTGCTGGGAATTGAACCCAGGTCCTCTGAAAGAGCAGCCAGTGCTCTTAACCACTAAGCCATCTCTCCAGCTCCACACATAAAACTGGAAGCATGGCTGTCAAAGTCAGGAACATAACAAGCACCACTATTGTTCAACTCTCTGGTGGTCTTATTGAGATCAATGTTATGACATTAAAAGGGAGTGTCAGAGAAAAAAACATTTGCAGATGACCACCTAAGCCACTTACTACAAAACAATTATGATTTACAAGTGAGC